CACCAGCACCAGCACCAGCACCGCCACCACCACCAACGACAACGTCACCAGCAGCACAGAACTAAATAATTATACAAGCATTACACTGCTGATGGTGGATGACTGGTTGCAAAATGGCAATAACTCAAGCTTCTTGGTTCAGCAGGTGGCAACATCATGCTTCAAGATTGGAACAAGAAGAAACTGAATGAGCGCAGTGTGGAATGTGCAGGTCTGCAGCCGGTAGCAACACTTATGGATATTTGACGCACAGGCCCCTTTGGAAGCAGGGGAAACAGGAACTGAAGCTTCAGAGCCATCACACATTCACAGCAGGCAACGACAAACAGCTACGCTCGCAGAGCTGTTTGCGCTACTTAGTATAGCTTAGGACTTCACACCAACGAAGACGACGAAAGCGTCTTCCCCCTTGTGTAGTCGTTGCTGCTTCTGATTCTGCTCTGATACTGCCGCTGCTGCTGCTGCTACTACTCCTATTCCTACTCCTACTACCACTACTACGACGACGACTACTACGACGACTGCTACTACTACTGCTGCTGCTGCTGCTGCTGCTACTACTACTACTACTGCTACTACTACTACTGCTCCTGCGATTACCACCAGCGCTGACTGCTGTTACCGCAAACCCCAAGCTTTTTCTGATGCGAAAGGTCGGCACTCAGCGCGTGGAGCAGACCGTGGCTGGACAGGTGAAGCAGCAGGCGGAGCGCTCTGCACGTTTTCGTTTTGCCTTCCTTCAGACATCAACCCCTGCTTCCGAGTCTTTAAGTAAATAACAAAGTTGTGCATGTATATATATATATATATATATGTATATATATATATATATATATATACGTATGTAGAAGTACATACACAAACATTCGTGGATATTCTACGTAGCGTTTGGGCCAAGCCTCTCGTCGTCATAGGTCAATGAAGGAAGGGTTTTCGTTGGCAGGGTGATCCCCTTTCCCTAACCCAAAGCCAAACTTTGTGATCCTTTACACGCAGAAGCTCAATACATGAACCCTACAGCCCTAAGCCCTACAAGCGACACGAGTCGGTGCTTCAATGTGTGTGACTTCGACTTGCGCCGCGTAATCTTGACAGTGGAGACTTCTTTGAAATAGGGTTACAGTGAAATGTGGGGGACTTTAGTGAATAGAATGCGGTTTTGGGATACATGGCCAACTAAATCGGGGTTATCAGGGGATACTATTACTTGGTGCAGGTGCAGGTGGCGTGAGTATCACTTTAGGATTCTTGCCTTGATGACACGCCTACTCATAGCTACCCCTAAACCTTAAACCGGGGATAGTTGTGGTTATGGTGAAACTGCCATCGTGGGATCTACGATTGCTGCCGCATTGCTGCCCAGATCGTGGAGATCCCGCAAGTCCAGGAGGTTGTCGAGGAGCAAGAAATCCCTGAGGCTGAGCGACCTTTTCAGGGCTTCAGTGGGTGTCATCATGATTTTGAAGCCGGCCAGGCTTTGTTCAGCACAGGGTTTCGAAGTTGTGTAAGATTTCGGAGGTTTTCCTTCATAGGCGTAAGCGTACGTACGGCTTTACAGGGTCGTCGAGTGGACTGGTCATTCCATCCCGCACCAACTCCATGTGCCAGCCCCGATTCTTTTGCCATAGTTCCTCTTGTTATCTATGCTCTTTTGTTTTCTGATAGTGGCGTTTCATTTTACTTGCTGTGACTGCGGCCCGTACTCGCCGTCTTTCGCTTCTCCTTGTGATTGATGTTATTGTTGCCAAGTGTATTCTTGCTTCATTCTTGCTACCATTGCTGCCGATTGTAGCATTTCGGCTCAATTGCTTTCATTTTGTCGATAACCCTCAGCATCAGCACGCCAGCATCATTGCCATCATCAAAAGCATCTGCGTCAGCTTCACCATCACCATCCATCACCATCATCACCATCATTAACATGATTTTCATAAACATCACATCGTTAAGGTCACCAGTGTCGACATCATCACCATCATCATTTCATCATCGCCGAAGTCGGCATCGCATCGCCAATCTCATTGCCATCGCCATCGTCAGGTCCTTGTCACCATCGTCATTGCCCCACTGTTGTTATCATCGCCATCTTTGTAGCATAAAGGTTCCTGTTGCCTTGTGTCACCAGTATTATGACTAGCCACTTTACTGTCAACATGCCTGTGATTGTTCACACCATCCTTGTCACTCGGCTCATGCTCGTCCACATTCATCGTCATCGCCACCATTGCTATCGTCACCATCAACATCACCACCATCGTGAGCATCTGCATCAGCATCTGTATCGCTGCTAACATCAGCATCAAATTATATAGTACAGAGGTTTGATCAATTCGTCGTATTATGTGTAGGGTTCCGAATTTTGCGCGACAGCAGAGAATCCTACCTAAAACCCTAGACTTCCAAGCATTAATCATCAGAATCGTCGTCAAGATCAGCATTAGCATCAATATCACCTTTTCATATTCGTTCTCCTTCTTCAGTACCATTGCAAGAAAGAGCTAGCACTTCGGTTATCGGTATCATGATCATTCCTTTCATCATGGTCTTCATCGCTTTCGCCATGATCAGCAGCATAAATCGTCAGCATCAACACTACCGTTATCACTATTTTCGGTACCATCTTCTCTTTGTTGGCTGCCATTGCAGCCTGCCCTGTTGTTATCACGACTGTGATTTGTACAAGTTCGTTACAATCGCTATCAACCTCCTGACTGCCACTATTCTCTTGGACGTCAGTGTCTTGCTTTCGTTCCGTTACGGTGTTGTAAGTACTTGTTGCCGTGGCTGTGTCTGCTTCAGGTGTTTAAGTTGTTTGTTGTCAGTGTTGCCACTCATGTTGATGCTGATGATGCTGTTGGTGGCGCGCACAGTGACGATGATGACAACGACCATGCTGGCAGCGACGACGACGAGGATAATGATGGTGATGAAGATGATGTTAATGATGGTGTGTTGTTGTTATAATGTTGCTGATGGTGGGGAATGCGATGTTGATGGGCTGTGGACAAGGAAGGTGAGCATAAACAAGTAGTGCGATTATGATGGTGCAGATGAAGATGAAGATGATGATGATGATGATGATGATGATGATGATGCCGTGGCGCTGTTGCTTTGTGCTCTTGCCAAGTAGGTGTGTGTGTGTGGGGTGTTTGTATTTGTCTTCGTGTCTTTAGTGAGTTTGAGGTTTTTCAGGCTCTGAGGTTGCTGCCCGAGGTGCAGATCGTGCAGAAGATGGTTGAGGCAGGCGAAGAGTCCATAACGAGCCTTCAGTGGATCGGGTCGGACCGGTTTTCATTTTGTCTTTCTCTCTCTCTCTCTGCATGTAGTGTTAAATAAATGAATAAATAAATAAATAAATATAAAAATAAATAAATAAATAAATATATATATATATATCTGTATATGTATATATATATATATATATATATATGCATATGCACACAATAAATGCATAGACATTTATGATTTGTATATACCTACGTATTTATTTAGACCCCGTGCACTGCAACAAGAGCATCGCGATGTCCTTCGAGCGTTGTCACACCCAAATGCTACAGAAGAGTTCTGTAGAACCAGTTTGAAACCCTAGAATCCACGGCAGGCCGCTGAAATCCCATCCTAGCCTAAACCCCAAACCCTAAAGCCGAAACCCCAAACCCTAAAACCTGAAGCCGGAGCCCCAAACCCTAAACCCTAAAGCCGAAACCTTAAACCCTAAACCCTGAAGCCGAAGCCCCAAACCTTAAATCGTAAACCTTAAACCTTAAAGCCGGAACACTCCAATCTGAGATATCAAATTCTTAGAGCCTGCTGGGCCCAAGTCGAAGCGCCAACGCCGAACGCCTGGTCTACTGTAGGGGCTCTGCTCAAGGGGATCTATAAGGGTTTCTTTAGGGTTTCTGGAAGCGTACTACAGAGGCCCTTGCAGGTACGTGGGACTTGGTAAGTACAATCCTAAGTAACCTAATTGGGGTCATATATACTTATAAGTATATTTTTTTCATAATCACAGTTACCAAGTCGCATGAATATGTAAGTACTCCTAAAGTGCCCTGATAGAAACTATTTGCATTTAAGTGAGTAAATCCCATGAACCTTCAAGTAGAGCCAAGAGCTTGGGATCGGGAACTGACGGCTTAGCGTTGTGGGGTTTAGGGTTTAGGGGCTGAAGTCTTTACTGTTTAGATCTTCGGGTTCCGGGTGCAAGTTCTGGGTTCAGAGTTTAAGTCAGGAAGCCTTTGAAGAGCGAGTGTTATTGTTGCTGGTATCACTATGTAGTGCCAGCATCATTATCTGAGACGGGGGCCCTAAACTTTGCATTTCTACCGGCTTAGTCCTCACCTGATACTGTTCAGGTGTCAGTTTTCTGTCTACGGCCCAGGGTGCCCTAAACTTTCTGATGCAGGTTCCACAGATCGTCCAGCAGGAAGTGGAACAGATCGTGGAACAAGTTGTCCAGGCCTCTTGCGAAATCGTTCCGAGATCACGCTTCCAGACTCTCCCAGTCATTCTTTCGGCTCGCAGCTTTCTCTTCTCACTTTCAGACACTCTGAGCGGAATCAGTACTGTACAGTGCCACCATCGCTGCCACCATCATCATCATCATCATCATCATCATCATCAATATCATCAGCGCTGCGTCTGGTTCCTCGGTGCCGATATGTATGTGCATATATATATATATATATAGCTGAAGCGTGACGATGTGTCGAATTCACGGTATCATCTTTCTTACACACACGCCAGAAGCAAAGTTAAACCCTAAACCCCAGACATTTTCCATGCATGCCCCGATTTTGAGACTAGGCCTTTTTCAAAGTCACCCGGAGTTTCGCAGGTGCCGGAGATCATTCATCAGCCGAAAGTCTCTCACCGCCACGTGGAGCAAGTTGCTGCCAAGTTGCGCTTGATGGATAGGGGGCAAAGGGGGTTACGGTGTTGGGGATTGGTTTGGGGATTCACTCGACTATTCCCTTAGAGAGGAGAAATGGGGAAGGGTGGCTTGGGGTCCTGCCGCTCCAAGGACTTTATGGCTTTGGTTCAATGTTTAGGGCCGTTTGAGGTTCAGGTATTTATGGGTTGTGCTGTTGTGTTGTCCTGACGCTTCGCTAGGCCTCCAAACCCCTTGCAGAATGGCTGGAGGTGATGTGCTTTATGTCGTGACGACAAACCTACTTTGGCAGAGTTCTCGACTCAAACGGACAGCCTGCTTCGGCATTCGGCATGAAGTCGTGCCGGCAAACCAAGAACATTTTATAGTTTCCGGATCACAGAGCATCCGGGCCATGATTCTGCTGTTGTGATTTTTGTCGTCGCTGTCATTTTGTTGTCGTTGTTGTTGATGATGATGGCGGCAATGAGAGTTGATGATTCTTCTGACTATTCTTATATCTCTTCCGGGTAATTTTCATCTGTGTTGGCACGACGATCAGGATGCCATTGTGACTTGCTTAACCCCTACTAAACCCAAACCCTAAACCCTATACCCTAAACTCGAAACCGAACACCCCTAAGCCCTAAGCCCTAAGTCCAAAACCCCAAACAAAAACATTTGAAGAGATCTCCCAAGTTCCGAGGTTGACATCCCAGTGCCTCAGACCGTTGAGGAGGTGGTCCATGTGCCCGTGACACAGACCCAAGCTCGCCGGCATCTCAGTCAGCGTGTTCATCTCAACTGTGTCTTATGTGAGGAGATGCCTTGTTGAGGGCTTGTGGTTAGGATCGATGATCTAGGGTTCAGCGGTTTTGTGGGTGTTGGAAAGGCTTTCTATGAGGCTTTTACTTCGGATTTCAGGGTTTATGACTTTCGTGTTTTTTTGTCTTCTGTAGAGGGGTGTTTAAAGGGGCCTGAGGAGTTTCAGGGCATTAGGGGCTCAACAACTTTTTTTGTGTTTGGGGTTTGGGGGTTACGAGCTGATGGTCGTACTGGGGTAGCCGCAGCAGTTGTCGTGGTGGTGGTGGTGGTGGTGGTGGTATTGAAACACTGATTCTTGTCATACTACTGACACTGATTGGACACTCCTTCGCATAGCATCTCCACATGTATGCTAATAGTAGTTTCGCGCCAATGCCGAACATAACACTCTTTCTTTGACTTGTAGATAACAGTAGTTGTGCTGCCAACAATAGACTTTGCCTCCACAGCCACTGCGAAGTACAGCAACAGCAGTAGTTTGCTTAGCCTTGCCCGAGACAATAGATGGGTCTGGCAAACCAGCAATAGCACTTCCATTTAGGTCCTGTATAGCTGTAGTATAACAAGCCCACAAGCGTTGTTGTAATTATTACGGCCCCTGTATTCATCGTGTGGCAACTGCCCTCAGCCGTCTGAGGCCACCATCATGTGCACGTCGAGCAGCAAGTGGAGATTCCTGTCCAGATGATGCAGGAGCAGACCGTGCACGTGCCGAAGGCGCTTGACATTTTAGGATCTTGTGGCCTATTGCTGAGTCCTCTGCTCGCAGATGCTGGGAGGGAGAGGTGGGAGAAGTTTTTTTTGCAAGTCTCTACTTGAGTCCCAATCGGCAGGTGGTGACCCAGAAGCGTCAGACCCACCAGCACGTTGAACAGATCGTCGAGGTCCCCGTGCCCATGACACAGGAGGAGGTGGTCCACGTCCCCAAGATCATCACGCAGACCAGAGTGCAGCAGGAGCGAGTAGAGCAGATGATCGAGGTGCCCATTCCGATGCAGCAGGAGGAGGTGGGACTTTCTCAAAAAGCCAAGAGAACACTGCCCATGAAGTAGAATCTACAATCGGGACCCCGAGCATCCAACACCCTTCGAAAACCTTCGACTTTGCACATACATCCTTAAGCCCGACATCCTCAACCCTAAACCCTAAACCCTCTAAAGCCTAAACGCCCAACCCTAAACTCTCAACCCTAAGCCCTAAATTCTCAAACCCGAACCCTCAGACACTCTCAACTTTCAAGACCGACTAAAGGGTTCCTACAGTACGATTGCTTCTAAGGTTCCTATCAGGGTTCCTTTCAGGGTTTGGGAAGTGTGATTCAGAACCCGAATCCGAGTGGTTCACTAACTCCCAGGTCTTGCTTAAAGTTTCAAAGTGAGTCAGGGTTTAGGGTTTAGGGGTGAGGGTTTAGCCAAATTTCCAGGTCGTTCATGTTCCCGAGATTGTCATGCAGCCTCGGATTGTGCACCAGCCGGTCGAGCAGATTGTCGAGGCCAAACATCCTGCCCGACGGAGTAGGGCTTTAGGGTTTAGGGTTACGTTGGGGGTTTCGGGTTTAGTTTTGGGTTTAGTTGTTCAGGGATGGCATAGTGCCGTCAGGGGGCTCAGTAGGATTTGCGGCTTGGGTTTAGGTTTCGGGGTCAAGGATCGCGTCTAGGTTTAGGGCATCCATCAACCGCAGAGTACCCAGGAGTCTTTTCTGCATCGTGCCGGTGCCTGTTCAGGTGCCTGTCCCCATGACCCAGGAGGAGCAGGTCCACGTGCCCAAGGTCATTACGCAGACCCGTATCCGTCACCAGCACGTGGAGCAAATCGTCGAGGCCACAGGGCTTCACCTGAACTCTAAAGCCTTGAAAGCCCTCAAGCCGAAGCAGCCTCAACCCTAATCTCACCCCAAATCCTCAAGATGGAGGCTATTTGACATTAAATCGCTAAGCCTGAAGCCCTTGGACCCTGGACCCGAAACCGTGAAACCCTGAAGCCCTGAACACTGAAAATTAACCCTGTAAGCCCTACGACCCCTTTGCTTGGTGTGCAGGTGCCGGTGCCCATGACCCAGGAGGAGCAGGTCCACGCACGAGTCTCGGAAAACATGCTAGAACCCCAAACCCTAGGGCGTTTCCCTTGCGATAGCCCCTGTCAAAGCCGTGTACTTGTGGCTATCAAACACCATAACGCCCGGTAAAAGCTTCACTAACAAAGCTGCAAGAGAACCTCTATAATTTCTCAGGTGCCCAAGATCATCACCCAGACGCGTGTCCGTCATCAGCCGGTGGAGCAGGTCGTGGAGGTGTGCCGCTGCTTCTGAGGGTCCTAAAAGGGTTCTGTAAGAGGGTTTCTGAGGGGTTCTATATTACCAGAGGCTCCTTAAGGGTTCTATATAATGGATTCTTGAAGGGCTTATCCGAGGTAGTATTAGGGAGACCCCTTAAGGGGGACACTTCTTCACCCCTACTTATGCCTCTCTGAAAAGGGACCTTATTGAGAGGGTCTATATCGCCGAGGGTTCTGCCTGAAGCCTCCAGCTGAAACCCAAAGCTGCGGCCTTGGGCCCCAAGGGTTGGGGTCCACGGTTTGCGGCTTGAGGAGGCCAGATGGAGAGCGTCTGGGTTTACTGTTTGGGGTTTTAGGCCTTAGGCGTTAAGGGTTTGGATTTAGGGTTTAGTGAAAGTTTAACTCTAATTCCCTCGTCAACGGTCAAATCCTCAAACGAAGCCCTAAACCCTCAACCTCCGTTGAACCCCGTGTTAGAACCTTTGCAGAATCCTTATAAAACCCTGAACCCTAAACTCTGCCTTTTAGCTCTCGAGGTGCCGGTGCCCATGACGCAGGAGGAGTGGCTAGGTAGCAGCTTGGGAAACTTTTCAATTTTCGGTCTTAGGGTTTAGGGTTTAGGGTTTGGGCTTCAGGGCGTAGGGTTGATGCTCCGATAGAGGTACCTATTCATGAACACTTTGCGTGGCCTTGAAACTACAATCAGGCAAGTGCACGTGCCCAAGATCGTCACCCAGACTCGTCCCCGCGCCAAGTCGAGCTTCAGGAATTTGAGGAGGATGGTGTGGGGCATAGGTCCAAGGATAGAAGGAGGGATCCTTATTAAGGACACCCAGGTATATACCCTTAATGTAGCTATTGCATACCCCATCATATAGCCCATTATAGGGTGGGGATCCTCATCAAGGGTCCCTCTTTTTGCCCTTCGAAGATGGAAGGCTTTGGGGCCATCAAGGAGCCTTAGAATGCCGTGCCCAGAAGCACAGACCCGAAACTAACTTAGAGGCATGAATGAGTAGCAATACTATGTACAGCTGTGGTATTATATACTTAACCCATACCACCAATTCCCGATTCCTACTATTTAGGGTCACGTACTTGATGCAAACCCCGAAGTCGAAACAGGATGCGACTCTAGTCCCTTAGCTGTTCATGTACTTATATAGCCTATGTAGTATGTACTTCGGCCTAGAAATCCTTTGGGGGCTATCAAGGTTAAAGTACACGCTGGCCCCGTAACGCCTTCCAGTTTCCCTCATGAATCCACTTCTAGGTCCTACAAACTCCTGTAAAGCCACAGAAAAATTTGATAGAGCCCTTTGAGGAACCCTTTAATACACCGTTACAGCAACCCTTAAGAAGAAGCTCCTAAAGAAACCCCCTAAAGGAACCCCTCAAGGGTACGTGACCCCTGTCGAAATTCCCAAGCTTCCGGGCATCCAACAATTCGAGCAACCCGAAGGACTAAGTTTTAGGGTTACAGGCTTCTATGTTGAGGGTTTAGGGTTTTTAGGGAGTTGGGGTGGGTTTGGGGTTTGGGGTTTAGGAGGGTATAAGAAAACTCCGAAAGAGTCATGCGTCGAGAAGAAGGCCAGTTGAAGTTGAGGTTTGAGAGTTTAGGATTGTGCATCCGTATAGGAACCCTACAAGCAGGACATCGGCTCGGCATCCTGAGCCGCAGAACCAAGACATTATATGATATGAAGAACGGGCCCATTGAAGCCCAAGACCTAAACAGCTGAGGCCAGAAATACTTTTCAGACCTTGCAACACCCTATGACAAGAACCTCTTGCTGACCCAGCAGTGCAAAGCCTTGACCCCCGAATCCTAGAGGGCTAATCAAGCTTCAACCCTAATTCGTGGGCCTAAAACCCGAATCTCTAAACCCAAACCGTGCCCGAATGCCCCAAATCCCCAAGCCCTAAACCCTGAACTGCAGACCCAACGCCCTGATTCCTGAATCCTCCAAGCCCCAAGCCTCAAATCCCTAAGCCCTATAATTCACCTTAAACCCTAAACCCCAAAACCCTAAACCCCAAACCCTAAACCCCCAAATGCTCAGGCCAGATCCACCAGCATGTGGAGCAGCAGGTGGAGGTGCCTGTGCCCATGACCCAGGACCGGCGATGCAAAGTTTAATAGGCACTAGAATTTTAGTGTCTTTAGGATTTTATGGTTTCCAGGGCTTTCAGGGAGTTTAGGTTTCAGGATGTTTCGGGTTTTAAGCGGTGTGGGCGTCTGGGGCGTTCTAGGGCTCTGGGGATGTAGGCTTGAAGCTTCTTGGGGTTGATTCTTCTTAAGATGAGAATAGTAAATAAGCGCAAACGCGCGCACACACACAACGCACACGCACACGCACAC